ATTCTGCGAAGGTAAGGTAAAACAACTCCTGGTGCAATAGAGACACAGGGTTATACTGGTTACCCATAGGTAGTCATGACACCAGAAGCTGTAGGGACAGAGGAGGCTTTGCGAACACCGAAAGTTGCATAATTCTCAGCAGATCTGGAGGAACACCAGATGCTGAGGAGCCACAGAGTGACATCAGATGCTAGCGTTATGCTGATGAGGCTGGGTGTTTCCATGTATACCAAAGGTGTGAGCCCTAAAGAGGGCTGCTAGGCAGAATCTAAGGAGTTGTCAGGTATTAACTAGAGCATTCCATAATGGATGATGGACTTTTCTGCATAAAAGCTCCCAGATTGCTTCCCCTGGACACACCTGTGTAGGCACTAGTTGAGTTAGATACACCAGATACTCTGGGGTTTCTGCGTGAGCTAGAACATAGCCACATGGAGAACAGGAACGCTCAGGTCTCAGAAGTGCTCAAGATCACAGGATACATTAGAATCAAGGACTGCACAGGGATACAATAGTCTGTGGAATCACTGTGATAAAGCAGGGGTCACAGAGTATGCTGGGTATGCAGGAGCTTGCAGCTAGCGTGATGGCACTCTGCTTGAATGCAGAGCAACACATTCACTTAGTGCCTGGACGCAGAAGTAATGGCTGCCCTATGTACAAACAGTATCTCACAGAAGTGAGTACGTCCCTCACATTTTTGTAAATATTTTATTATATCTTTTCATGTGACAACACTGAAGAAATGACACTTTGCTACAATGTAAAGTAGTGAGTGTACAGCTTGCATAACAGTGTAAATTTGCTGTCCCCCTCAAAATAACTCAACACACAGCCATTAATGTCTAAACCGCTGACAACAAAAGTGAGTACACCCCTAAGTGAAAATGTTCAAATTGGGCCCAAAATGTCAATATTTTGTGTGGCCACCAATATTTTCCAGCACTGCCTTAACCCTCTTGGGCATGGAGTTCAGCAGAGCTTCACAGGTTGCCACTGGAGTTCTCTTCCACTCCTCCATGACGGCATCACAGAGCTGGTGGATGTTAGAGACCTTGCGCTCCTCCGCCTTCCGTTTTGAGGATGCCCCACAGATGCTTAAGAGGCTTTAGGTCTGGAGACATGCTTGGCCAGTCCATCGCCTTTACCCTCAGCTTCTTTAGCAAGGCAGTGGTCGTCTTGGAGGTGTGTTTGGGGTCGTTATGTTGGAATACTGCCCTGAGGCCCAGTCTCCGACGGGAGGGGATCATGTTCTGCTTCAGTATGTCACAGTACATGTTGGCATTCATGGTTCCCTCAATGAACTGTAGTTTCCCAGTGTCAGCAGCACTCATGCAGCCCCAGACCATGACACTCCCACCAACATGCTTGACTGTAGGCAAGACACATTTGTCTTTGTACTCCTCACCTGGTTGCCGTCACACACACTTGACACCATCTGAACCAAATAAGTTTATCTTGGTCTCATCAGAACACAGGACATGGTTCCAGTAATCCATGTCCTTAATTTGCTTGTCTTCAACAATCTGTTTGCGGACTTTCTTGTGCATCATTTCTCAGGAGAGGCTTGCTTCCGGGACGACAGCCATGCAGACCAATTTGATGCAGTGTGTGGAGTATGGTCTGAGCACTGATAGGCTGACCCCTTCAACCTCTGCAGCACTCATACATCTATTTTTCAAAGACAACCTCTGGATATGACGCTGAGCACATGCACTCAACTTCTTTGGTCGACCATGGCAAGACCTGTACTGAGTGGAACCTGTCCTGTTAAACCACTGTATGGTCTTGTCCGCTGTGCTGCAGCTTATTTTCAGGGTCTTGGCAATCTTCTTATAGCCTAGGCCATCTTTATGTAGATCAACAATTCTATTTTTCAGACCCTCAGAGAGTTCTTTGCCATGAGGTGCCATGTTGAACTGCCAGTGACCAGTATGAGAGATTGAGGGCGATAACACCAAATTTAACACACCTGCACCCTATTCACATCCAAGACCTTGTAACACTAACGAGTCACATGACACCAGGGAGGGAAAATGGCTAATTGGGCCCAATTTGGACATTTTCACTTTAATTTTTGTTGCCAGCGGTTTAGACATTAATGGCTGTGTGTTGAGTTATTTTGAGGGACAGCAAATTTACACTGTTATACAAGCTGTACACTCACTACTTTACATTGTAGCAAAGTGTCATTTCTTCAGTGTTGTCACATGAAAAGATATTATAAAATATTTACAAAAATGTGAGGGGTGTACTCACTTCTGTGAGATACTGTACGTAATTTACAAGTTCTATATGGAAACAAGGCTTTGAAAACATTCGCACATATTGAGAAGATTATTTCCTTCACGTTGATCACTTGTGCATCTTTATGTAAAAAACATGACTTCATCTAAATTTCTCTTCAGTTCATTGATGGACATAGCCTCTCTTTATCCATGTCCAAACAGGGTTTTATAGCCCCACCGACAGGAGTAGGATACTAGGCAGAAAATAACTTGGCACCTCCTATGGGCAGTCCTCTGTGGGATAGGCAACCCAGTCATTCTGCTTGGTGTTCAGGAATATGGACGTGCTGTTCTGCTGGTCCCATAGCTTTTTTCTTTTCCCCTGTTTTTCTCTTTCTCTTTTCCTGTGGAGACCTTCTGTCAACAGTTGGGCTGGGCAATCGGATAATCTAGATTTGGTGGTCACCCCAGTCCGACCAGCGAGCATGTGCAGACTGCTAGCTCAGTGCCTGGTCAGCCGTGACATGGCCCATCTTGGACAGGGGCGGCCAGCGAGATAAACGTCTCGCGGGGATACATATGACCGGGCGCCTATAGTCCATGTCGCAGTGTTCCCCTGGCCAACAGCCCCCTACTTCGGTGGAGAGATAAGGTCATGAGAGTTTTACCTGCACGTTCTGCCGGATGTGGTGTGGGGCGTGGGTACTCCCTGTGGCATTTCAAGCGCCCTCCTCCTACTTGCTCTCTCTGTTCCTGTCCTCTGTTCATCCTGCTGCTCCGGGTACCCCTGGGCTTGGGAGGCTGGTCCTGCTGTGGGAAGGGGGGGGTCTGCCTAATTGTTCTGGCTCCATTGCGTGTCAAGGGAGATCACATGTGGCTGCCATGTTGCTTGTATTCACCAGCAGCCATTTTTTTGGGGCTACAACTGCCCTTTTCCCTGGTTTTTGGAGACTTTTATGTACTTGCTATGCCTGGCTGCCATTTTCCCTGGGGCTGACTGGTTGAATAGGTTGTGGGAGCTGACTGGGGGAGGTCCTGAGTGGCCATTTTCTTGTAGCTCACAGCGACAGACATATCCTTCCTTCTGAGGGTCCGAGAGTATGGAGGCGATCCCTGGAGCATGGTTCTGAGCAGGACACAGCGGCAATGGCCCGAGGGTTGCTCCTTTGAACCTCTGGTGGTTCGGTGGAGTCCTTCCTGGGGATTCCCTCTCTCTCCTGGGGGTGGTCTCTCCTACTTTAGTGCCTTGTGGGGTCCCTCATTGCGCAGTGCCCATCGGGTGGTGAGGTCCCCATGGTGTTTCAGGAGCACGCTTCCCCTCTGGACCCCTTCCTTGAGATGCACTGTCGGCCATCTTGTAGTCATTAGTCTCCCAAGTGGAGGCGACATTTGGATGCAAGGCGAGCAAAATGCACACCCTGCCGCCACCCTCCTCAGGCTGTTTTGCGCACGAATCAGGCTCTGTCACTGCTGGTTCCACATTTGCTGCGGATCCTGATGGCGTATCCTCGGACATGGAGGACAGGTCCTCTGCAGCTGTAGGTGCACAGGATAAAGTGCTGGTCTCCACTCTCATTGATTCTTCACTGGAAACGCTTAAAATTGAGGATCTTGTTGGGGCGGCTTGATCCTGGGTAAAGTCTCTGCTCTACTTCTTTCAGTGTTCCCCTGGCCAGGCATTCTTTGGTTTGCACTTTCATTCAAGGGGTTTGTCATGTGGTGGCCCCTGTGCACCCCCCTCCACTTGCCACTGTGGGATTTGAAATTGGGGTTGTCAGCACTTCAGAAGCCTCCTTTTGAAAGCATTCAGGATATTCCCTTGCTTACTCTCTCGCAGAAGGTTGCCTTTCTAGTCGCTATCACTTTGGCTTGGCTGGTGTCGGAAATGGCAGCTTTGTCCTGTAAGCTGCCTTATTTTATTTTATACAAGCACAAGGTGGTTCTTCGACCATCCCACTCTTTCTTTCTGAAGGTGGTGTCGGATTATAATTTGAATGAGGGCATTGTCCTTCCTTGTGTCCTTGTCTGTCGTGCCCTAAGGAGGTGGCCTTGCACTCCCTGGATGTGGTTCACGCAATCTATGTCTAACTTTTTGTGACCAACACTTTTCAGAGGTTAAGCTTGGTGGCCTCTTCTGCCACTATTTCCTGTGGGATTCAGCAGATGATTGTGCAGCCGTCTGTTTCTCAAGTTTGCAAAGCGGCGACTTGGTCATCACACGTTTTATTAAAGCCTATAAATTTGATGTGTTGGCATCCTCCAATGCTAGTTTTGCCAGAAAGTTATGCAGGCAGCTGTTTAGGACTCTCGTGTGCCCCTTAAAGTGGTTCTAATTGTTGGCCTGTTGCACTGGGGTTTTTTGTTTTCTCCATTAGTCAGTTTGCCTATCCCTCATGGGGATGCTTGGGGACATCCCTGTTTGATCATGGATAAGAACATTACTCACCATAAAATCTCTTTCCCTGAGTTTACTGACAGACACAGCACCACTACCTTTTGACACTGCTTGTGAGGAGATTTTGTGCCCAGCAAGGACTGCCTATAGGAGGTGCCGAGTTTTTTTTTCTGCGTAGTATCCTACTCCTGTAGGTGGGCCTATAAAACCCTGTTTGGTCATGGGTAAAGAAGAGAGACTGTGTCTGTCAATTAACTCAGAGAAGGGATTTTATGGTGAGTAACGAAAAATCCTGTTTAATGTAAAATAAAAGAAACAAAGAAATGTCAACATGTTGGGTTATATTTTACAAGTGAAACTAGTTCATGTTTCTGCAGGTGAACCCCAGTATCCCATCTCGGCCTTACATCATTGGTTTAACAGGAGGCAGTGGTAGTGGGAAGTCTTCCATTGCAAAAAGGCTGGAGACCCTTGGAGCTGCTCTCATAGATTGTGATACATTAGGACACGAAAGTTACAGGCCTGGAGGACCAGCATACCAGCTAGTCATTGATGAGTTTGGCTCAGGTATATTATGCATGAATGCAAGTCATTTATTTTGTTTGCTCAAAGGTTAATTCAGTTGAAAGCCCAGTTTTTGTTTGAATTGTAGAGTGTTTAAAGTGGTTATAAACCCTTACATTTACCCATTGAAGTGACTGAGGTGAAACAAATCCTCCTATATACGTTTTTTCCTGTTTATCTGCAGTGTTTTCTTTTCTACATTCCTTCAAAAGGGCAGAATTTAGATAAAATCCTTCTTAGTCTGTCAATATCACAGAGGAGGGGGCAGGGAGCTACAGTTAAAGCTCTTGTAAACTGAGAGCAGATTGGAGGAAATGGACACACCCCCTTCCACAGGCTGCACAGGAATGAAGGAACATGCAGAGCTGTGTTGTGAGTAGATAAGCTGTGTGATGAGCTCCCTCCCCATCACATTTTTATCTCAAAAACATGGAAAACTTGTCAGAAGTGACTCATGCTGATAACAGAGGAAGGAAGCGTCAGAGAGAAATGACACTCACTTTGGAGAAAGACAAGTAAACACTACAGATGTACAGTGCTCAGCATAAATGAGTACACCTCTTTTGAAAAGTAAGATTTTAATCAATATTTCAATGAACACAAGAACAATTTCCAAAATTTTGACAAAATTTGAGTTTTATAGAACATTTGTTTAGCTCATTACATGAAAGTAAGGTTAATAATATAACTTACGGTCGAGTCCATAAATATTGGGACATCGACACAATTCTAATATTTTTGGCTCTGTACACCACCACAATGGATTTGAAATGAAACGAACAAGATGTGCTTTAACTGCAGACTGTCAGCTTTAATTTGAGGGTATTTACATCCAAATCAGGTGAACGGTGTAGGAATTAAAACAGTTTGCATATGTGCCTCCCTCTTGTTAAGGGACCAAAAGAAATGGGACAATTGGCTTCTCAGCTGTTCCACGGCCAGGTGTGTGTGTTATTCCCTCATTATCCCAATTACAATGAGCAGATAAAAGTTCCAGAGTTCATTTCAAGTGTGCTATTTGCATTTGGAATCTGTTGCTGTCAACTCTCAAGATGAGATCCAAAGAGCTGTCACTATCAGTGAAGCAAGCCATCATTAGGCTGAAAAAACAAACCCATCAGAGAGATAGCAAAAACATTAGGCGTGGTCAAAACAACTGTTTGGAACATTCTTAAAAAGAAGGACCGCACCAGTGAGCTCAGCAACACCAAAAGACCCGGAAGACCACAGAAAACAACTGTGGTGGATGACCAAAAAATTCTTTCCCTGGTGAAGAAAACACCCTTCACAACAGTTGGCCAGATCAAGAACACTCTCCAGGAGGTAGGTGTATGTGTGTCAAAGTCAACAATCAAGAGAAGACTTCACCAGAGTGAATACAGAGGGTTCACCACAAGATGTAAACCATTGGTGAGCCTCAAAAACAGGAAGGCCAGATTAGAGTTTGGCAAACGACATCTAAAATAGCCTTCACAGTTCTGGAACAACATCCTATGGACAGATGAGACCAAGATCAACTTGTACCAGAGTGATGAGAAGAGTATGGAGAAGGAAAGGAACTGCTCATGATTCTAAGCATACCACCTCATCAGTGAAGCGTGGTGGTAGTGTCATGGTGTGGGCATGTATGGCTGCCAATGGAACTGGTTCTCTTGTATTTATTGATGGTATTTATTGATGATGCGACTGCTGACAAAAGCAGCAGGATGAATTCTGAAGTGTTTCGGGCAATATTATCTGCTCATATTCAGCCAAATGCTTCACAACTCATTGGACGCCGCTTCACAGTGCAGATGGACAATGACCCAAAGCATACTGCAAAAGCAACCAAAGAGTTTTTTTAAGGGAAAGAAGTGGAATGTTATGCAATGGCCAAGTCAATCACCTGACCTGAATCCAATTGAGCATGCATTTCACTTGCTGAAGACGAAACTGAAGGGAACAAGAACAAGCAGGAACTAAAGACAGTTGCAGTAGAGGCCTGGCGGACCATCACCAGGGATTAAACCCAGCGTCCGGTGATGTCTATGAGTTCCAGACTTCAGGCTGTAATTGACTGCAAAGGATTTGCAACCAAGTATTAAAAAGTGAAAGTTTGATTTATGATTATTATTCTGCCCCATTACTTTTGGTCCCTTAACAAGTGGGAGGCACATATGCAAACTGTTGTAATTCCTACACCACTCACCTGATTTGGATGTACATGCCCTCAAATTAAAGCTGACAGTCTGCAGTTAAAGCACATCTTGTTCGTTTCATTTCAAATCCATTGTGGTGGTGTATAGAGCCAAAAATGTTAGAATTGTGTTGATGTCTCAAAATTTATGGACCTGACTGTAGATTACAAAATCTTCAGTTTTACTCTAATTAGTTGATACAAAACTGAATACACCCCACAACAAAAACTACTACATAAAGTATTTTGTATGACCTCCATGGTTTGTAAGGACAGCACCAAGTTTTCTAGGCATGGTATGAACAAGTTGATGACATATTGCAGCATCTTATCTTTTCCTATACTTCAAGAATGTCCTTTTTTAGAGCCTGAATGCTGGATGGAGAGTGACTTCATGATACCATCAATGAATTGCAGCACTCATGCAGCCCTACAGAAGGACACTACCCCCACCATGGCACCACGCATTTTTGTTTGTACTCCTCATCTATGCAACGCCATACAGTTTTGAAGCCATCAGTTCCAAAAACATTTATCTTGGTCTCATCACTCCAGAGTACAGAGTCCCAGTAGTCGTCTTCTCTTTCAGCATGGGCCCTGGCAAATTCTAGGCGAGCTTGTGCATGGGCTTTAGGAGAGGTTTCTTTTGTGGACGACAACCATGCATGTTATTTCTCTGCAGTGTATTCCGTGTTGTGTCTCTGGAAACAATCACCCCAGTTTGGCTTTCTACTTCCTTAGCTAATTGCAGTGAACTTGCATGGCAATTTTTTTTTCAACCATTTTCATCAGAAGACGCTCCTGTTGATGAGGTGTTAAGAGTTGTTAACTTCTGTGGGCGACCCAGATGTGAGATGTTTGCAGTTCCATCTTTGTTAAATTTTGTATCACTTTTGCTACAGTATTCTGACAAGTAAAGCTTTGCTGATCTTGTAGCTTTTACCTTTCTTGTGTAAAGAAATTATCTTTCAGGCCTTGTGACATTTCTCTTCCATGTGGTGCCTTTGCTGACAGAATGAAATAGGAAGGGGTTTTCTTTAACCTGTTGCCTACCTGCCACAGTGTATATACTGCGGCAGGGCGGCACCGCTGTGCTAGAGCACGCAATAAAACGGCAATAGCACTACCGTTGTTTTTGCGGGCAGGGGGGCGTGCACGCGCCTCCGCCGACCCGCAGGTGTCACGATTCGATCCCCGAGGAATCAATCATTCGGTTTCAGCCAGTGATATCCGGCTGAAGTCGGATGATTGGTCCCTGTCCTATCGTGTCCCGTGTTGACAGATACACAGGACAGGATATGGTGTGATTCTTCTCTGCCTGGGCACATTCCGTCCCAGAGAGAGAAAACATACAAAACGTGAATAAAAAGTACAACACTTTCAGTTAGAACACACCTAGGACACATTTAACCCATTGACCGCCCCCCCTAGTTAACTCCTTCACTGACCTGTCACCAGTGTCATTGATTACAGTGAACAGATTTTTACTGATCACTGTATTAGTGTCCCTGGTGACTTCCGATAGTGCTAGTGTCAGTTAGCGCCCCTCCCAGATAGCGTCAGATTGCCTGCTAGTACACCAGTAATCCCATTTAAACCCTTGATCTCCCCCCCCCCCCGTTAACCCCTTCACTGCCCTGTCATCAGTGTCATTGATTACAGTGAACAGATTTTTTACTGATCACTGTATTAGTGTCGCTGGCAACTCCCAATAGTGTTAGCGTCAGTTAGCGCCCCTCCCAGATAGCGTCAGATTGCCCACTATTACACCATTAATCACATTTAACCCCTTGATTGCCAGGATCACGCTCACTTGCACGCTAAACCTCCATTGCTAGTATAGTGTCTGATTGGATCAATATCTTTGATCAGATCAGCGCTATACCAGCGTTCATATTACTATAGTGTCCCCAAAAACGCAGCATTAGCGGGATCAGCCCCAACACCTGCCAGCACCTGTGTTTAGCCTCTACGCCCCCTTCTCCCCCAGCAATTGCAGTGTCAGTAGATAACTGTCACTTGATACATTACACACAAAACCGCAGTGTTCACAGAATCAGGCCTGATCTCTGTTAGCACTTGTTTGTAAATTTTTTGTAGCGGTTCAAGCAGTCCCTAACAGCCAGGCGCTCTTTTTCCCGTGAGTCGCACTAGGTACCTGTAAATTTAGTGGCCAAAATGTCCAAGCAATGGTACTCTAGTGAAGAGGCCTACAGGATTCTGAGCATGTCAGGTGAGAGTGAAGGGGAAGACTCACTGACAGAATCCGCCTCAGAATATGAACCTGTAGACAGGAGCGGCACCCTGACAGATAGCTCAGACGACGGAAAAGAGGTCCCTGCTAAGATCAGGCGTACCCGACCCCATTTCCAGGTTGCTGAGGTGGTACAAACGCATGATGACTCTCATATGCAGCAGAGTGCCAGTACTAGTGCCACTCTACCTTTTGGTGAACTGGCGAGCACCAGCGGCCTAGTACGTCCTGGTCTTATACATACCAGCACTACAGTATCACTTGGTGACATGGCGAGTCCCATAAGTGCAGTACAAGCTGGTGCGGTGGCGAGCACAAGTAGTGTCCCGCGGCCACCAAGAATTCGCATACAGGTCCGTAGAGCCCCTAGTATCGTTCCGGATGTGCTTGCAAATCCCGATTGGCAGCCCACAAATTCTGAAGAACACTTACTTCCCCCATTCACTGCCCAACCCGGAATTCAGGTGGAAACAGCAAATTTAAATACTGCCCTTGATTTTTTTTTTAGCTGTTTTTCACAGATGATCTTTATGCTCACAGATGATCTTTATGCATTGATTGTGGATCAAAGC